GGCTAAGGCCATCTGACGCATGCGCAGGTGACGACTCCTCCGCTTTGAAGCAAAACATCTACTTCGTCAGTTTTTAAAACCAAAAAAAAAACTCATGGTAAAAAAATCGCCTTACCTCTCACGATATATAGTAATCCTATGTCCACAATCTATAATTTTAGTTATGAAATAATATTTCAATCATAAACACAATAGCAAAATTATCTATTCCTAAAACCACAACCACAATTTTGTCGAAAAGTAGTCGGATGCTGATGCCCCGAAACTTGTTTGCATCAATATTCTTACAATTTACTGCAAAATAGAACAATTCTGGATATTTCAATTATAAACGATTAGACCAAGAAGCAAATGTCTTACAAATTATTCGATCGATAAATCGATCCTATTTTTTATGATTTATACAATACGTATAGTCATAGTATACGTTATGGCCATGGATGGTTGCTTGCAATGAGCGCCACCAACGACTTGAAGATCGAAACATAAAACGGGGTGTGTTGTCCGTTGACCTTTTTTTTTAACCAAAGAAGTCTTACCACGATAGTTTCCGTCGTGTAGTCTAAAAACTTACTACGTGCACGTGCCGACGTATGACATCACGACATTTCTCACAGATATAGTTTACACTGATGGGGAGTATGGCGGAAAACAAATTGACTGTTTTAAGTGTCTTGATTACGGTGATAAACCTCGCTCAAGCGTCGGCGTTGCTAGACGTTACTAAACTCAGCGAAGAACTGGCGAAAGTGGCAGACAACAATTTAGGTGTCACAGTTATACAGGTAAATATATATAGGACGATATTGTGCTGTGTCTCGAAAACGGGATTTCCGTCTTGAAACCGTAAACTTGTAATGAGTACATACTAGCGGTACATGTACTAAGTAGTAGCTGCAGACTGCAGCTAACTAAGTAGTAATAGTACGCAGCCTTAAAGACAAGACCGGGCAAGTATATATTGTCTATTGTTGCGTTGCGTTGCGTTGTCCCTGTTGATGTTGTTGTTATTGTTGATTAAATGTGAAAAGGTTGTCCCATTAACATGGTCGGTCTGATAAAATCCACGTGAATGGCATTAAAACACATGTGTTTCTAGTGACATGTTCCTCAGTCGAAGCCGAAAGTTGTGCTGTGTGTGTGTATAAAAAAATCCCACAATTCGTAGAATTACAGTATCGTATATGTTGACTAGTTTATTGGGATTCCATTAAGGGTGAATCATAATAGTTCGCGATGAAATATGCGTGTACTGGCACACGACCTCCCTGTCCTATTAACTGGGGGTCGGTGACCTCGCCCAACAAACATACTTTCGCTTGAAGGTCACGTGGTTGACCTATGGTAAGCATGATACGTATAAGGGAATAAGTCTCATACAACGCTAACTGTCTCAGCAAGACAAGACAAATTGGTCTAATTTATATATAATATCCTCTGATAACTGATATCGGGGCATATATTGTTAGTTTCACAATGAAATGATAATATAGCACGAAAATGTATTATTGTGGGATATGCATACGTTTTCCTGCTATACTACATTATCACACATTTCGTGCATAAATGAAATAAGCATGGACAAAATAATTTCATTTTGAAAAAATAAAGTGTTCCTAGGCAAATCGTATTACATATGTTTGTAACTCAATATCCCCGGAATAGGGAGTATATTTTGTATAATTGTGTTGGTCTGCCAACATGAATTCGAATTATAATCGGAGTTACTACATAACTATATATACTTCTATTACTATTGTGGGCAGGTTTTTCTACAGAACCATTCACTGTACACACGCATAATAAATAATACATAATAAATAGCATGCTCTCACATGTCACATGTACAGTGTATTTACGCGACCGTGTTCTAAGCTGTTCGAAGGGATCGGGTAAAATTGTGCGGTGTGTGGATCACAACAGAAACCACGTCTCCACACTTTTGTCGGCGACTTGTTCCCAATGATCTCACATATACACTCTTTTTTTCAGATTCTACATAAAATCCATTTTTACATACATTGTTGTTTACTTTACTTTACTTTCATTTCCTTGTTACAGAACCATTTCCATTTCTACAGAACCATTCACTGTACACACGCATAATAAATAATACATAATAAATAGCATGCTCTCACGTGTCACATGTACAGTGTATTTACGCGACCGTGTTCTAAGCTGTTCGAAGGGATCGGGTAAAATTGTGCGGTGTGTGGATCACAACAGAAACCACGTCTCCACACTTTTGTCGGCGACTTGTTCCCAATGATCTCACATATACACTCTTTTTTTCAGATTCTACATAAAATCCATTTTTACATACATTGTTGTTTACTTTACTTTACTTTCATTTCCTTGTTACAAGACTGTGTTCCTTCATAGACATTTGAATAGGTCTATGGTTCCATGTTTACTTTCAACAAATGACGTATGTTGTTTATATTTCAGGAACAATTCAACTCACTGGCTTTTGAAAATATACCATTGGATAACGCGCAATTAATAGAACAGGTAAATGCTTGTATATCCACATATTACCACATTATTTCAATATATTCACAGATTAAATATGTGTTTTTTCTCGAAAAATAGCAAAGCGTCAACACGTTCTATTGTTTCTTATTTAAAGCGGGAGTGTCGTCATCTACGCTTGCGTCATATGGCCAAAGCGTGTCATTGTTTACAAACAAGCGTCTACCAATGTTCCTTTGCGTTTTTAGCGTGTGTTGTTATCGTCGCTTGGGACTCAATTCCCGCGCGTGCACACGTGACGACCCTCCCGCTTTAAGACTAAATTTAGAAATGATACATTATATAGTCAGTAGAAGTCAGAGTCGAGATTGGATATTTTGTAGGTCTGTCAATACAATATTCTTGGCAATAAAGCCCCGCAACGCAACCCGTTTCAGGAGTAGAGTGTAGAGGATTCTAACAAGATGTGTCTATGATGCATGAATCCGCTCTAAGCACAACGTTTTGCTAAAACTATATCGAACCACGTCAAAGTTTAAAAGTAATTGTAGACTTCTCACCTAAAATTAATAAAAGTATTGTAAGTAATCTTCGTGTATTGAAATCTTGGTGATTTGGTAAAATTAACGTAAGACGTATATCAACTAGTAATAACCAATGTCACCTTCTGTCTTTGCGTCGCATTGCAACTTATGAGTCTAAGATGGCGGCAGACCAATACATTTCACTAGATTTCTTCGTTTTCGATTTCTCCGAAAATTACTTCTGTAACAAAATATTCAAATATCATGAATATATTCACCAATATTATCGAAGAACTTTTGATGTTTGCGATTGGTGCTTGCAGCGCAGGGTTGTATGTTAAAGTTAAATTTCATGTCTGTATGTTTCTTTCAATAATTTCTAACAGTTTTTTTTTTTTCATAGTCCAGTCACCCAGTAAACATGTCCGTATACACGACTCTCATTTGTTATATTAACATCATAACTCTAACCACGTGATATATCTGTAGTACTTCGTTTCTCTAAAATAACAGTCGACAAATGAACATTTTACACAAGTTCTTCAACGCCTTTTCTGTACTGCGCGCCCTCTAGTGGCGAACCTCTGCTTTTTCGAAGTGCCATTCAAAGCGACAACTTCGTTTGTCTCTAGTAGATCGTGATATAGAATGTATCAAATTTCTCCCCCAAAAAATATTGGTTGTTGAAGAACAACTACACTTCAAATCAATATCGATGCTGCCAGCGTGTCTTTTTGGAAGCGTTACGTCGCTTGGGGCGCTATATTTTATGAAAGATTAAGGTATGAGGTAATCCGCCTCATTCAAATAATCGCCTCCAGTAAGTTTAGGCAAACAAAGGCTTATTATAGACATAAAGAATACTGAAACGAAACTGCAATATTATATGTCGATTGAACTAATTCTTCTGTCGTTTCTATAGTTACTACTGTCTGTGAGTGCCAAATTTCAATCTGGCATACTCGCAGTTGAAAATCTTCGTGAAGCTGTCCAAGACTCTTTGGCTTCTTCGAGTCAAGGAACGTTCACCGAGTGTTGCCAACTGGACCCCGACCAACTGGAATACAGAACGCGATTCAGAAAGCGTGTAAGTAAGACAATGTATACGTTATGGCTTGGTATAATGATTGTGCCATTTTTCTTACAGCTGGTTGTTTGGTTCAGAATTGTTGGCAAATTACTTGTTCACTTGTTTCTCCTTCCCTCTTCAAGTTGACGTCACGGAAACTGTAATAAATTGATTTGTTGTTATGTGGTTGTATTACACTACTCATTAAAAATATTAGAATTAAACCGGCTTAAATGGATTGTGATATTCTCTATTGAGGGGGTACGAGATGGATGCATGTTTCTTCCACGTTCAACTGTCGTTGGCATTGGTCGCTCGGTATAAACTGTGCATTCTCTTGTTTGTAGATCGATGAAGACATCGCTTGTGAGAGGCTCTCTTCTGCTCGGGTATCCAATCCTAAACGATTAAACGATGGCGTCATCGATGTTATGAAATCTAATTACCAAAACCCAGCTCACAAAGGCATTCAATGGCAGTTTTACGGCAGCGAAGAGGGAGTTTTTACGATCTATCCAGCCAACTCGCGGAGTGACTGTAATGACTATGATGCTAGATACAGGTAAGAAGCCTACTCTAAACTGTGTTTAGCAACGTCTAGAAACCCTAGCAAGATAATGCTTTCCATCACCACTATGGGTGCTAGGTATACCGTTGCATGGGTACCAACACGGTGTGATGGACGCTAACTATGAAAATGGTGGTGCACGCACACATTCAAGCACTCTGCGTAATAACTCCTATACATTGATATATGAAACATTGTACATTATGTACATATACAATATTTATATGCAATCTAAAGGGCGGTGGTCGTCGCGCCGCGTTGTGTTCGATATGGGACTCATAGCGACGTACACAACGCGTGTAAAATACATTCGAACTGCCGCGCGACGACCACCGTCCTTTAATATGAATATGAGTGACATTTGTAGTACGTTTTCTGAAATGTCTGTAGACCTTGGTACGTGGAAACGGCAACATCGGATCCAAAGAACGTCGTAATTCTCATCGATAACAGTGGTTCTATGAGCCATAGCCTCAGTGACGGCCGTACTTTTATGGAAACTGCCAAGGAAGCGGCGAATACGGTGTTAGATACCATGAATCCGAATGACAAGGTAGGTAGTGTCAGTGTTGTTCACTTTTCTAAAATTAGTTTTTTATCCCTAAGTGACATACAGCTTCGCTACATAGAGAATTTGAAAATGTGTTGTAACTTTATATTCAACATTGCATATGGAATAAACACTTTAATGCGTTTTCTCCAAACACTGTTTTCGTTTGCCCTACTAAGATTCCGAAATACTGTCGCAAAGAGTGGTTATTTTGAATTGATGGTACGTACCAGTATTTCATGATCTGTAGTTCAGGTTTAACGTATCTATGACGTCACATTTCAATTCCCATATATTAAAAGTATAACTTTATTTTGTCGTTTTATTTCAGGTTTCTGTCATTGCATTTTCAACAGAGCTGAGGCGACCTGGCGAAGATAGTGGCAGTTTAAGTTGTTTCAAAGATCAGTTAGCCGAAGCAACTCCGCCTAATATTGATTACTTGAAAAGTTTTGTGCACTCGATTCCCACTGAAGGTAGTTACGTAGTTAACGCTCTTCCTGTACAGAAGTATGTTAACGCTCTTACTGTACATGAGTATGTTACACTCTTCCTGTACAGGAATATGTTACGTACTTAACGCTTTTCCCGTACAAGAGTGTGTTTACGCAGTTAACGCTCTTCCTGTACAGGAGTATGTTTACGTAGTTAACGCTCTTCCTGTATAGGAGTATGTTTACGTAGTTAACGCTCTTCCTGTACAGGAGTATGTTAACGCTCTTCCTGTACAGGAGTATGTTTACGCAGTTAACGTTCTTCCTGTACAGGAGTATGTTTACGCAGTTAACGCTCTTCCTGTACAGGAGTATGTTTACGTAGTTAACGCTCTTCCTGTACAGGAGTATGTGTACGTAGTTAACGCTCTTCCTGTACAAGAGTATGTTAACGCTCTTCCTGTACAGGAGTATGTTAACGCTCTTCCTGTACATGAGTATGTTAACGCTCTTCCTGTACATGAGTATGTTAACGCTCTTCCTGTACAGGAGTATGTTAGCGCTCTTCCTGTACAGAAGTATGTTAACGCTCTTCCTGTACAGGAGTATGTTAACGCTGTTCCTGTACATGAGTATGTTAACGCTGTTCCTGTACATGAGTATGTTAACGCACTTCGTGTACATGAGTATGTTAACGCTCTTCCTGTACAGGAGTATGTTAACGCTCTCCCAGTACATGAGTATGTTAACGCTCTTCCTGTACAGGAGTATGTTATCGCTCTCCCTGTACAGGAGTATGTTAACGCTCTCCCAGTACAGGAGTATGTTAACGCTCTTCCTGTACAGGAGTATGTTAACGCTCTCCCAGTACAGGAGTGTGTTAACGCTCTTTCTGTACATGTTTACGTAGTTAACGCTGTTCCTGTCAGTGTTTTCACGTTTATGACACGTGTGCAAAGAAACTCAAATTACAAAGTGATGAATAATATGTATATCATAGGAAACAGCAACATCCTTGGGTGACGCCGCTTTCTGAGATCAACAACTTTGTAATTTCAGTGAACTTCAGCCTATCCGTATGTGGCGATAGTTTCGGCTTCCCATTCAATATTCACTTGTTAATGCTTTTGAATTCGGTCTTCTCATCGGAACGATGGCGAGTCTGGAGGAATTGTTCAAATCTCACACGAATCATAGCCCAAAGTAAAAATAAAGCATAACATAACGACACACTCGGTGTGAAGCATAACGTCACACTCGGTGAATCTTTTTAAATGTTATTTAAGATCAAATAATCGTGAGCTGGTGATCAGTCGACAACATGAACTGCCTAGCCCAAAATAAATATATTTTTTCAAAGTGGATATACTTATTGTGTTTGTTACTGAAGTTTTTGTGTGTGTATTTACGCATCTGAAAGATAACTTGCCCGACCGTTTTCGCACCATGCAGCCAAGTTAAAAAGTTACTATACCGCGCCATGCACGCCGGTGTCAATACAAGGATTACCATACCATTTTCTAAATGGATAAAAATAATATTAAATCTAGTAACGAATATTTTAATGTCTTAAATTCTTGCGTAGTGACGCTGGGTGAAACGGTTACTACGTCACGGTATATCGTGAATGACATGACATTTTTTGTTTACTTTGGTCAACTTCTAAAAGTGCATTTAATAATAAGTCAAACAAACTGTTCTATGGGAACTAGTCACGTGCACATTTTTTTTTCTTGAAACAACCATTACTATTTTCTACTTTCAGATAATACAAACTACATAGGTGCATTGAATGCGGCATTCGATTTACTAAAAGGCTCGATGTCGACTGATGAAAACAGAAGTAAGTTAAAGTTTTCTACCAAACAATGTCACCATGGCAACTACGTACAATTCTGGAAGTCCATATTCTTGGCAATATTATTTTTACACATACCTCAAAATGCAATTCTTAACCCCATTCACCTCTCTGGTTGTAATAAGTTTTTTAAACAACATTACGTTATCATTTTATTCTTACTACATTACTTGCTGTACCATTCTTGGTAACCCGTGTCTTCTACTCATTCTCATATCACCGTAAGTGAACAAAACAGCCTTAACCTGCGATGCCCAAGGTTGCCTTCCATTGTCACCTGTTTCAGGACCACTTTATATGGCTATTCCATGATTTGATACCCCCCCCCCGTCAGTCGCGTACGATGGCTTTCCATTGTCATCTATTTCAGAACCACTTGATATGCATGTTTGGCTATTCCATAATTTGATAGCCCCCCCCCCCCTCCCAGTCGTGTACGATTGCCTTGCATTGTCGCATCCAAGATTTCGGCTGATCTGCACTGGCTCGGAAGATGAATTCTGATTGGCTAAAAAAACAAAAAAACTTGTGGCGTTGAATGCACGTTCATTGTCAGTATTGTTATGCAAATTCAAACTAGCTAATCATTTACAACCTTCCGAGCCAGTGCAGATTAGCCCCAAGATTTAATGCACATAACAACAGAATGCACAAATATCGATACAAGTATGAAGTCCCTAAAACATGTGAATTTGTCGTCGCTGGGTCCGACCCTTAAAAATTTCTTACACAATGTCAGTTGTACTCTTTCAATATGGTTTATGGACTGAATTCACAAATCTCGGCTCCATATAACATAATGGACATACTCATGCTGTCGAACATTTTGTTGTTCTCTTATACTAACTAAACCATGACTTTGTTTACAGAGCAAGTGATACTATTTCTCACCGATGGCCAACCCACTGACAACGTCGGTGATGATGACGAGAGGAGGAGACGGATAATGCAGACAATTATTGATAGGAATAATGACACCGTGATGAATAATAAGGTCATCATTTTTACATATGGACTCGGTGGAGGTAAGCACGGAATGAACTAATTGGCGTCTTGTAGGTTTCATTATCACGTATTTCGTCTCCGTAACGGTCCGTGTACGTCACATCGCTCTTGCTGCCTCGTTCGCAGATAGTTGACTTGGTCAGTCATCATTATCTACCTGTTATGTAGAAGGTATGTGTGAAAATGGTGAAGTGGGAACTTTCAAATATCACCCAGATTAATTTGAAACGCCACAAATTCCTGCCGCATTCATTCATTCAGTTCAACTGTCTGTATATACGGGACGGTGACCGTGCGCGCCGTGGTCCAATTTCACGCGCATCCAACATATAGTTCGTTGACGTCGCGTCGTTTTCATAATACATATCGAATACGACTAATTAGAATTTGCTTAAATTACATCTTGTGATTTCTACAAATGATTTAAATCACTATATTTCTTTCATATTAACAGAAGTCGATGCGGGTCTTCTCAAAGCAATGGCGTTGCAAGACGGCAGTACGTATGGAGTTGGCTCCTCCGGCGGCGACATTGAGGTTATCTATTTTCTTGTTTTCATATACCTTGATCATACGAGCTTTCGATAAACTTCCTGGAATATAGAACATAAATACATACAAATTAAATAGGGCTACTAATCATGTTGTTTCTTTGTTCTTTATGATTGTAAATTATTTTACTTTAGAGGAAGTAAACACACGCAGCTTACAATATGCCCCTTCTATCTATCTAACCCTCTCTCTCCCTCTTTCTCGATCAGTAACTATTAATACCACTTCTTACATCAAATACGTGATTACTTCTCAGGCTGGAAAGTCAGTTATTGTATCGAATCCGGATAACTTACGCATCGTGATGGCATCATACTATGATCAGTTCTCGTCGACATCAGCGAGGATTAAACCAATCTTCTCCGTACCCTATCAAGCAGCTTCGGGAAACGGTGAGTGTCGGTGTTTGACAATAAACCGAGAACTTTAAAATGTTAGTAACACGGTGCCGACGGTTTGTGATGATGTTACCGTACACAACTGAAAACACATCACAGTGTATCAGCCGCGGCAATTTATTTTCGAATAGTTTGAACTATGCGGTCACACTATTTTGAAAGACGATAACTTACTCGGACCAAGATTTATATCTCAATTATGCGTCTTGGAATGTGCAACTGACAACATGATGTGTACTTAATCTAATTTATTATGCAATTTCTGGGAACATTCGCATATACATACTTGGCTATCATATAATGACCACGTGGCAGCAATAATGCTCGCACTCAATTTTCACAGGACTTATGACCACCGTCGCTTTACCAGTTATATACAATGGCGGGCTGGAAGGTGTGGTCGGTGTAGATATCACCTTACAAGATATCTTCGATGAAATATCATACTTCCACCAGGGACAGCTATCCTATGCTTTTATATTTGAATCCAGTTCCAACGCTGCAGGTGAGTGTAATTGGGCAGTCGGTAGCCAATTTGTCACTCAACAGTTCTACATTTGACATAACTCTATGGTATGGGGAAAACTATATCAGGGATGGAAGACATTTCGATCTATAATTACACTAATGATTGCTGGGAACATTACCTTTTTTTCACAGGCCGTACTTTAATCCACCCATTGTTACCGGCCCCAATCAACGTAGAAGAAGACCCTGTTTTTGTACATATCACGTCTTTGGAGCGTGCTTCCCAATTTAAGGCAATGATAGAGGATGCTGAGATTGAAGGGTACGTAGTCCAGTTGTACATTACACTCACATGCTGTAAGAGAAAACAATATTCTCCTTGAGTTAAAGCCACCTTGATGATGTACGCGTTCGCTTTCATGTAGATAAACATCACCAACAGTTCACAGTTGGATAAAAAAAAACTAATACGCTAAGTTTTTCTAAGCCCCCTTTACCATCCTTCAAACATAATTGTAGCATATTCGTACGTAAGTTAAAATAAAATGGCAACATAAACAAAAACTAAACCTATATATTACTAGCCAGGATACATTCAATCTACCGGAAGCTATGTTAAGTTTACAAAGTGTTAGTATTAGGTTCGTTACCCTGCATTATGCGACATCCCTTGAGTTGTTCAGATTATCAAGTCATATATACAACAATTAAATAGTTTTTGAACTCCCCAACCCCAAACTAAAGGCATTTTACTTTGAACTTGTGACGGTGGCCCTACTTTTGTATGCATTCACTAGTTTTTTTTTTTCATTTACTAGTTTATAAAAGAAAGAATGTGTTTGGTTATATTTTGGGGTTAAATTACCGCATTTTGCTATCAGCCAAATAAGCGAAATAATTAAAGCGAGAGGGTCATCACCTGCGCACGTGCGGGAATTGAATCCCAAGCCACGATAACAACACACGCTAAAAACGCAAAGGTTCATGGGTAGACGCTTGTTTATAAACAATGACACGCTATGACCATTTGACGCATGCGCAGGTGACGACCCTCCCGTTTTAAGCTTTGTACGTACTAGGAGTAATTTCGTGTTCACGCAGTTTCATATATGTTGGCGTCTTTCTGTGAAAATGAATCTTGTGAGGAGCATCACATCAATGATGACAAGCGTTTTTCTCACGTAACGCGTGTTTTGATGTTTTATATAAATCACAGACTTTTTACGCACAAGATAACGTGTTTGTACACTTTGTTTTTTTATAGAGATAGTTTTAAAAGGGAGGCTAATTTTTCTTCTACAAGATCAATACCGAGGGGTAATTCTGCCACAGAGGGCGTGCGCACACAGGGCGTCCTATCCACGTATACATGTGAGGCGGTAGGTATTGACCAATCAGTTCATAGTACATAACGTTTTACTATTACTACTTAGTGCCAAGATATGTTAGGGTGCAATACCAACGTTTTATTCGTTATGTTATGTTTCAGATCGGTGGTGGCACTCCGTATGTGCTCTGTTTAGTCGTAGCTGACAGTGATATACAAACCGAATTAAATGCCCAGACACCCACAGGTGAGATATTTTTATTTATTTATTTTCTATGACGATATCGACTATTTTACCCATGCATATTAATATATTCATTCATTCATTCACTCATTCATTCATAAACGCACAAACGCTTAATAAATGTTTATTCTTACAGGGAATGACTTCGTGTATCACAGGGCGGATCTGCGTCGCTCTACCCAGGAGTGTAGACACTTTAACAGAAGAGCCATTACAGGTACGCGTACGTTTGTCCGCGAATCTTATCGTAATATGCATTTCCCATTCGATATCTGCATACATAATTAGATCATTTGCATACCCTTATTGTCAATACTAGTCAAACATTTCAGAATAACAGACAGTTAAAGCGCGGTGGTCGTCGCGAAGCGCGTGTTCGAATTTCATGTAAATAAACAATGTATTTTACACGCGTTGTATACGTCGCTATGAGTCCCATATCGAACAGAACGCGGCACGACGACCACCGCACTTTAATATTACGGTAAACAGGACGGTGAGAGGACGGATGGAATTGATGAATTGTCGTGATGATGAAGAAAAAGATGAATGCATAATGTAAATGAATTGGATAAATGTGAATACAAAAATTGTCGTCAGGCACACATGAATATAATATTATATTATGCCCTAAATAAATATTACGTATAAATACCACGTATCATTTTTTTGTCTGCTAGAACAATCATCCGTCAAGTTCAGTCCTGAGGCATTCGTTGATCCACAAAAATACCTCTCCGAAGAAGAAGATGTACACATTGTACAGGCATACACTAACTACATGAATGACGTCACAGGAACCGTCCAATCAGATAAGTTCAAAGTAAGTTCATTGGATCAGGCTTGTTTCGCACTTTCATTTGGACTAGCAATGCAATGTTTGTGAACTACAGTTCAAGTTCATTAGGACATGAAAAGAATGTGATGATGCCAAACAAGCAATTCAACTGCGGAGAGTACATGCCCAGGCAGACAGACATGCAGCAGACCGTAAAAGCGTCCATCTGGAGTATCTAATTCCCGGCGTCCGCAACTTACAAGAAACTTACAACTTGTTTAATATGCTACACCGACATGACTGAATGAATGCATTTCATTTGAATGTCACATTTTAGCCTGGAGTGCGTGACGCTGTAGTCGTCACTGCCGCTGCCGATGAAGTTTGGAAACAATCTTTACAATCCGAAACAAAACAATACACAGCTTTCTACTACATTGGTACATCGAATGGTGTGTTTCGTGAGTATCCAGGTGTACAGCTAAACCACAGTTACGACCACACTGTAAGATCCTGGTAAGTTTTATTGATGGCATATATAGTGTATTAAATATATAAATATAAATAATTAAATAAATTGTCTATACATCTTTAACGACCAGTGTTGCCATGTTACAGGTATGAACGCGCTAAAAGCAATAAAGGAATGCGGACACTGTCACCACCATACGATGCGGCAAGTGGATCTGGTTACGTCATCACTTTAAGCCACACGCTTGTTGATAGGTAAGTACACGTGTACTTGGATGCTAACTTGGGTTGAACTCTGACCGGATGACATGAGAACCAAAATTAGGATGACGGAAATTCAATCTTGCAAATATATTGATATTTGAAGCCATTTCGACAGTACAGAAGATTTAAGACGTATGGACCTCGTGTAATGACACCACAGTCACGATTTTACAATTTACTTTGGTGAAGATCATGGGATTCCAAAACCCTCTCCAGCTGAGCGAGTTTATTACGATCTGTTATTCATCGCTAATTCCTTGCATATTCCTGCATTCATAATATATCCATAAGTGCAAATCTGTATTGGTGCAGATTAGATCTATACTCAGTATATAATTGGCAACGTAAGGAACTCAAATTATAATTTAAAACAAAAACAAAAAATCACATTTTCCACACAGCTTGTTATCCAATGAAGTCGTAGCTGTAATGGGCATGGATTTTACGTTGGCATATTTTTATCGGGTGTTGACTGAATTATACCCATTGTGTATGGAAACTCAATATAGGTACGTAGTTTTGTGTTACACGCAGTATAGATTATAATCTTTAAGGATAATATTATTTTAAATTACTTATTTTTAATTCTTTGATTTGTGACCACCACATAAGTAAGTTTCACTTTACTTTTACATTCTTAATCTTATAAACGCTGATTCAGAAGAAGTCCTTAGTCACCTTCCGAAACATAAAATTGTGATTAAGAACTGTTGATAATGGGAATTTTTGTCCAAAATGAGCTAAAATTTATAAAGATTATATCAGTAGTAAAGTGCATACAATTGTGAAATGTGTTGTAATAGAAAAAGTTAATTTACAATATTTGTATATTTAAAAAAAATGTTTGTTCACTTGTTGGACAGGTTATTGTCACTGAGCGGTATACATGTATATATTGTAATGGTAGTAAGAATACATTTCAAGGTTATCTATAGAAATATCTGAATTTTATTTCGATTTCCATCCAAAGACAGGAATAATGCGAACTTTATAAAATGATCTCTGATAGTTGTGTTTCAAAAGATTACAAGTATATTTTATTCAGTAATATTTGTTATTCGGCATCATTACTTTACTCCTTAGCTGTTTTGTGATGGATAGTAGCGGATATCTGGTAGTTCATCAAGACTTTTTTGGTTCAAGTGGCATCGATATTCATGAACTACATATAACTCAATTGGAACCGGACGTTGCACAACATTTGATAACTGAAGGAGTTCTAACTAAGGAGAAATGTGTCAAGTTTCAGAAAATAAAACTACAGAATTACTACGTGGTAAGACTATTAATATTATTATTTATAGCACATATATTGGTAAACACGTAAAATTTAGGCCGAACAACATGTTTAGTGTAATTTTATAACCGTGAATTACACAAATTATACGGCAAATCGTAGAGAAACATACCCACACTAACTGTAACTGACCTTCAATGACAATTACAACCTCTTAACCCAATGACTGTATATTAGTTAAATATATTAAGAAACCCACAGAAAAACCTATTCTACATTTCTCATTCAAAACCCAGCGCAAGGTAACTCTTATTTGCTTCATACGAAAATTGTCAAACTGTCTCATTTCAACTGTCAACACCTTAAGTTTATGCTGTTATTTTATTTCTAGGTCCCAAAATCGTCTAACAATGTCGTTGATAATCTGGAGGATGCAAACCCATGTATGCGTTATCAACTTTCCTATATACCAATGACCAATGCTTATCTTGGTATCATTGACAAATCAGGTCGTTGTCTTCAATCGCTGTGCCCCTGTCTAGAGGTAATACGTGCACATGTGATTGGAAAGCATTTGTTGTGTCATACTGTTTGTTTTTAGAAGCGCCCACTAAAGTTGAACATGCTGAACTGTGTCTTAATATCTCTTGAAGTATAACTGTGTTATATATTCGCCATATTCAGTATTTTGACTGCGGTTGTGCGATTATAGTATATTATTATACATCTGTCACCGCAACGCCATATGTTACAGCGTGTCGTAATTTTGTTGTATTTTACGGGGTATTTTCATCCTATCATATTAGAAAATGCAAAATTGCAAATATGGAATAATTACGCACGTAAGCGTCCTCTAATAATAAAAACAAACATGGCTGCCACCAGGGTTTTACCGGACTCCCCACGAAGTAGTTCGCTGATTCTGTTCCAAACGTTCGCTGTATTGTCTTCGACCATACTTTGAAGTATCCTCGTAATAACCTCACATTATAGTTTACATTTGATTATCAGTACAGCTATTTTTATAAGTATAAGTACTATGTTTATGTTGGCCTTTGTGCATAATACAGCTGTTATCATGTAATGTTTCAGAGCAACTGTCAACACGCAGGTGAAGATAAATGTGAGTGTCCATGTGATTCTGACGCGGCATATGATCACTGTGACAACGAATTCCAGTATACCAGGTATGACATTGTGTACACGTGATTATATATGAATATTCATCTATAAAATGGCGATGATGAACCATTAACTATTCAACAAATCTCTTTACCATCTTACTGTTTGATATTTGCATATTACGATATATTTTGGTCTTAGACTAGTGCTGTAAAAAAGACAATTTGGATCATAGGCAACTTTGATAACCATGCACGTGATCAAAAGATCATAATTATGCTAACAAAGACGAGTATATGTCGAAAACAAACAGCGATTGTTTTAGGTTTAAATTTCAATGTATATAAAAAATGGTTGGGTATACAAGTGCGGTTGGTATGTGTATTATTAAACGGGAGGGTCGTCACCTGCGCACGCGCGAAAATTGAGTACCAAGCGACGATAACAACACACGCTATAACGCAAAGGCTCAAGGGTAGACGCTTGTTTGTAAACAATGACACGGTATGGCCATCTGACGCATGCGCAGGTGACGACTCTCCCGCTTTAATTATATCTACCCTGTAGTTCATTTCATGCTATTCGGCGTACTCAAGTACACCGCGTTTAAACTACACTTGGTTGTGCTACTAAGTATGATTGGAAATAGAAGCGGAACGTTTGGCATTACCTCAGTCTGACGCAATATGTTTTATTTGACAGTGACACCGCCCCGTCCTGTACACCTCCTGTCCTCGATATAGACCCAATTGTTGAAGAGGATTCCAATCTTTACGATTTGTCGCAGTGTTTTGCATTTGACTGTAATGTTATGAAAAATGCCATGTAAGTACTCAAGACGCACCACATATCAGTTACAATATCTTAAAGAAATTAGCTTCCCATTAAGGATGAGGCTTGAATTCGTTGACACTTTTTTTCACTGAATATCACATTTTGCCCCCTATATGTTATATAAATTAATGAATTAGGTAACCATATACAATACCATTTTCCATCATGTCAAGTGACTTGGACCCATTTTTCATATGTGTGCCATATGAGATAGCCGAGAATATCAAACATTTTACATAATAATAGAGATTGTGCAAAAACTGAATTTTTACCACGAATATTTTATATGCACATGGGTTTCTGTTTTTTTTTTCAATCGCTTTTCGAGAGTCAAATGCAAATCAAATTTGTTGGATGATATTCCAAAGTTATTATTAAAATACTGGAATAAGTTCATTCTATATTATTTAATATTACTAATAAGTCTTGAATTCTAACCATTACACTATTTAAAATTGGTGATATTGTGTAAATACGAGTTTCTCTATACAGTGATTGCGAATCGGTCGTAAACTGTGAATGGTGTGACGAGGGTGAGAACATAGATGATCCATACTGCAGTGACAAGGTCTACTATTGTAAACGTAAGTATACCTATTGACTGAACATCACGGCGTTCAGTACCCTGAACCCTACACTTGAAATCGAAATTACATATCTGTTACGATTCAGAACAACGTAGGTGTTTGCTTTCACTGATTCACTTTTAACGTCATGCACTAAAAATATAATTTCGTATATATTATAAATGTATAGCACAATATGAACAACGCCTATGCCATTTCACACAAATTGAAACACAAATTTCATTATCTTTTTCAGCGGCGCCATTATCGTCGCCATCAGCTGGGGCAGTAGTCGGAGCAGTAATAGGAGTTTTGCTTGTTATCGCCATCGTGGTTGTTGTGATCGTCGTCATTATGGTATTACGTAGAAGACATAAAGACGACTACAGTGAAAACCATATGTCGATGTCGTACACTGCTAGTGCACAGCCATCAGCACCCCCACCACCGTCGGCACCGAGGGCTCCAGAATCGCCGCATTCCGGGTCATTGGGGTCAGATATAAACATGTTACCTGACTCTCCCGCTTATATTAATCCGGAAAGTAATTGGAGTCCGAACAACTATGAATCAATGAGAGGACATGCAGCGGATTATCCAGGTCCCGTAGTAACACGGGAATCGTCATACGAGGAACCATACGACCCCAGAGAGGAACCACTAACTGACGACTACCAGGAAATACGGCTGTAAAATGACGATTTTCCAGAGAATGAACTGCCGCCATTCGTGAATTCAACATTGTAGATTATACGGAAAAACTGTAAAACTAGAAAATGAAAACTACCCTAATTTAAAACAACTCACAGGGTGAGATTCTAAACAAGTTGTCGATTTAGTCACGCTCACTTTTAATGAAGTGCAGTACCCAGGATACACGGACTCAACTTGCAGAGGTCGGTGGTTCGAATTAAAATCTCAAATGAAGAGGTTTCAGCCTAATTCAATACGTCATGTTTTCTATATTTTCATCATTACCATGGGTTCATGCCGTCAGCATAAAAAACTGGTATTTTTCGGGATACAGAAGTCCGTTCTGTTCACTGCTTTCTATAGTGGGATTATTCCTTTATATCTTAAAGGGTGGTGGTCGTCGCGCCGCGCATGTGCACCAAAGAAATTACCCAGTTAAAACTTGGTATCCACTCAGTTTGTACTCGTTGGTCCGCGCAATAGTTAAAGCGGGGGAGACGCCACCTACGCATGCGTCAATTGGCCACGGCGTGTCATTGTTTACGGACAAGCGGCTACCCATGAGCCTTTGCGTTTCCAGTGTGTTGTTATCGTCGCTTGGGACTCAATTCCCTATATCTTGCGCATGAGTGGCGCGACGACCACCACCCTTTACCAATTTCCTTGGCGAAATGGGATAACAAAAGTCATAATATTAGTTATTATTGATGCGAATCATAATAATGATAAAACATTACAAAAAATTGACATATAATTTAGTGAGATTTCAGTATAATAGTTTTCCATCGACTGTGATGATATACAATGGAAGGTTCTCTTCCATATTGCATTGAATTCAAACTGTCCTGAAAGCGCTGTAATTGCGATTTTGCGATTGCACAACAGTCTTTGCAACCCAATCACCATTTTTTTTTAAAAGATATTTTTTTTGTTTATCGTAAACAAAAATCATCCTAACTGAAGCGAGTCTATTTATTATAAATGCTATTCCTGGTCTTCATACAAAGTCTTCTACAAAGCCTATATTGTCCTTGTTTTCCGTACGCTTACATGAGGGACACATGTTATCAGTGTCAAACCGTTGATAAAGGTTCTAATGTGTACGTAATTATCTAATTGGTCAAGCGGGGGGAGTCACACTGCGCATGCGTCAGATAGCCATAGCGTGAAATGTTACAAACATGCGTATACCCATGAGCTTTGCGTTT